GTGTTGGTAGCTGAAAATCTAGGGATGTATAGTTTTGGGTTTGCTTTTACGTGATTGTCGACAGTTGTTTGGTTAGATTTATTGAAATCAGGAGATTCTAAATTACTAATAATTCGTAATAATTAACCTTCTCGGTTATCGCATTGGTTTTGTTATATCTAATGTAATGAAATATTATGTATTTTTTATTTGCTGTTAATGGCTTACAGCGTTAAGTTGCTCGTAAGTGCAAAGCTATACAATGACCTATCTGCGCTGTGCCCACCGCCGGCAATCAAGCCCTAACTTTTAGGTTACAACCCTAAGTTTATCGCTGAGTCACCGAGACACGATACGAGAAGAGGCTTTATACTTAACTCTGGCATCTGTTATGACCTGTCACATGATGCAGTTAGTTCAGTAATAATATAGTAACTGTTACCGTTGATATACTGTCAAAAGTCCCATTCTTCCTATAGGTGTGAAGTGGATGTATAATATAGCAAAAGTACCAATGTAGTGTGTTTAGGTAAACTTGGAGCCATGATATCATGATACATGCTACCTATAAAATTATCATCTTGTGGTAAAATATGCCAATAACAAAGTTATGGCATCTAAGGATATTACCCCCTCCTCCCAAAAAAGTTATTTTCCTTAAGGGTTTCGCATAAATGTATATACTTTTTAAAATAGAAAATATTTCGCTGTTTATACAAGCAAGTTATAAAATTATGCAAGTTTATTCACTTGAATGATGTTAATATCATGATATCATATCAGGTTCCCAACACCCTATGTTAGCAAATTTTCGGTATTCCACAACTACTTTATAACAGTAGGAAAAATCAGGACTATTGAAACTGCGTGTAAGATATGCATCACTTCTTGTTAAAACCTTTTTTTGGTCTAGATTTTTAAGTGTTCTGCATTGGAGTACTCATAGATAGAGCAGCTATCGCAGGCGTCCATCTGACCCGTGTTACAAAAGGTACATTTGTTAGATATACAAAATTAATAGCATTTGTGCTCAGGTTCCGTCTGAGAAGCACACCATTATTTTATGTATATGTATTTGTATTTATGGCAAAAATACTATGGCTATCTTATGCCGTCCCTAATTTTGAACTACTGCCCATAGAGAAGGTAGCCACCAATCATTCACGTTGAATTAATTGCCACTCTTGTAACGCACTCACAGCTTAAAGTATGGAAATATTTCATTGATCAACCAAAAAAAAACGTAC